GTGTGTGTGTGTGTGTGTGTGTGTGTGTGTGTGTGTGTGTGTGTGTGTGTGTGTGTGTGTGTGTGTGTGTGTGTGTGTGGAGCATGTGTGTGTGGAGCATGTGTGTGTGTGTATGTATGTGTGTGTGTGTGTGAGTCTGAGTATAGGTTCGTGTTTGACCACACATTTGCTCATACACCGCCGATTTGGTACCTTTTCTCATCTCACCCTACCCCATCCTCTGTCTTCTCCCGTGTGCCTGTGTTCAGACGTATCATCTTCTACGCAACAACTGCAACCACTTCTCGGAAGAAGCAGCCACGTTCCTCACTGGCCAATCGATCCCACAAAAGGTCCGCGAGCTGCCCGACCAGTTCCTCGCAACGTAAGTGCCCACGCAGACGCTTCTGTTTGAACCTGGAAGCAGTTACTCACACACTCACTCACTCACTCACACAGACTCACTCACTCACTCACTCACTCACTCACTCACTCACTCACTCACTCACTCACTCACTCACTCACTCACTCACTCACTCACTCACTCACTCACTCACTCACTCACTCACTCACACACACACACACACTTGTCCACAGACCGTTTGGCCAAATGTTTGCGCCGATGATTGACCAGATGTTTCAGCAGCTCGGCGGCAACGGCGCGCCTGTCTAGTCCGAGTCGCACAAACACAACCGATGAAACACACACACACACACACTCACACATGCACACTCACACACATGCACACACACACACACACACCAAACCAACAACAACACACACACACACACGTATCTACATTCCCCCTTCCTGTTCCTTGTTCCTGTACAAACACGCGTGCATCTTCGCTGGCGTTCCCTACTGTTACCCATCGCGGGCGTTGCCACTTCAACATGCGCTTCATTTAATCTCTGACTGACCGATGGTGACTGCCTCAAAGCTTGCAACAGCACCGTCAATACAAGTGAACCGATAACAAAGGGGAAAGAGGAGAACGCGAATAACAAGAGTGAATTGCACATCAAAACTCCCACTTCAAGCAAGCCCAAAAGCGTGGACACAAAAGAATCTACGTTGAGCAGTGCTCCATAGCTCACACACACAACCTAACATTGAGCAATGCTTCTTAACATGTCAATGCACTCACGTTTGCACACACACACACACACACACACACACACACACACACCATTTCAAACGCACACACATTCTGCGCTTCAGACGTGTGTGTTGTCAATGGGCATTGGATTCACAGCGATCCCGCGCTTTCCTTTGTGTCGCCGCCGCCTCTTCCGCAGATGCCCCTGCTTCTGCGTCGTCATATGCGCAATACCGAGCGAGAGTGTGGGCAGGCCATCGCCACGCCCACCTGGCAGCTCAATCACATATGTTGCAATTGCCTCGTGCTTGCGGGGTGCAGCCAGCGGCTGCACAGCCACAGGTACGGGCTCCTCGCCCCGCTTGCCTGCAGGCACGGACGATGATGACGACGACGACGGTGTGTGTTTCGAAGCAGCACCCGGTGCTGACGCGGGTGACCCCGATGACGATGTCAGGACGCCGCGCGGCTTCAGCGACGACGACGATGATGAGGACGAGGATAGGGGTGACATCCACCGGGCCGGCTTTGCTCGTGCGTGCTGTTTCCCCTGCGCATCGCGTCGCAGCATCAAGGTTGCGGTGGCAAAGGGGCGGCGGGCAAGCGTTTCCATGGCCAGCACCTCCTCGCGCGCAGACTGGCGCACGTGATACAGGCTGTTGAGCTTGTACGCGCCCACCACCATGGCGCCAATCAAGAAGAACACGCAGAAGAAGACGGTGAAGAACACCACGAGATCGATGGAGACTACGGGCTGGCTGGAAAACACCCGCAGCTGCGCTGGCTCCGGGCCCAAGTTGACCACCGTCAAGTAGAACACCGTCGTGGAGAAGTTGAACTGCCGGTGGCTGAAGCGCATGTACGCGCGTTCCGCCTCAATCACGTCTCGCCGCACCGTCGCGTTGCTCGGCACAACAAACCCTTCCGCCAGCTGCAGCGGCTCCAGCATGCCACGACCACCGGTGCTGCTGCCACTACCGCCACTGCCGGCATTGCCATTGCTGCTGCTGGATGAGCTTGCAGCGGGCGTGGCCAGGGTGGCGTTGGCGTCCGTGTTCTCCGTGTTCTCGCCATCGCCAAGCAAGTCCACGACCGTGCCGTTGTCTGTGGCAACAACCGCAGCCACCGTCCCCTGCCACACGTCAATGGTCACGCGGAGGTCCACGTTGGTAAAAATGCCTGGTGTGAACACGAAGAATTGCGACTCGCCTGCCTGCAAGCTCGGCGACTGCACGGCCTGCTGCACAATCTGCCGATAGCACTGCTTGCCGTTCTCCGGCGTTCCGGAGAGAACAACCATGCCAGATGACGTCTGGATCAAATCCCGGCAACGGTTGCACTGGTACTCGTACGGCAGCATGTTTGCCCGCACCTGTAGCGAGACGGTGTTGTGCGCACACCTGCAGTCTTCCCCCGTAACCACGTCGCACCCTTCCGCCGCCAATCCGCACGAATCGCCAGTCAGCACGTTGCACCGGTCGCCGTGGCCGTTGCACTCGCACGCGCGGCACCTGAACCGCTCGGGCGTGTCGGGGTCGAGGAAGTACCCGGGCACACACGGCACTGGGCAGTCGAGGCACGCTGCGCACTGCAGCCCGTCCTCGTCCTCATTCGCAGGCGTATATCCAATGGTGAACGCCACCGCTGCACTCTCGCGTGTCCGCGCCGCTCGCACAGTCACAAACACGACATCTTGCAGGAAGTTGAAGGCGGAGCAGTCGAGCGTGACCCGCAGGTTGGATGGCGATGATGATGACGACGACGACGACGACGACGACGATGATGGCGGCACTGTTGGCGACAGCAGAACCGCATCCACGTTCACGTCCGCGCTGCCACCACCACCACCAACAACGGCATTGGCATCAGCGTCAGTGCTACTCCTTGCACTTCTCCTCATCACCGTGCCATCATCATCGGCAACACCAGCAACATCATCGTCGTCATTATCAACGCCACCATTGCCGGAAGCCGTGGCAGGTGTGTCGGGCGTGAGCGTGAGCTGCGTGCACGAGCCCGAGAATTCCGAGCACAGGAACCGGCGACATGTGCTGTCGGCACACGATTGGGCACCCGCTGCGCCCTCACTCATCACGTCAACCACCACCTCCCCCTCCAGTTCCGTAAACTCCACCATGGCGTTGCGGAAGGGCCGGTACGCACCGCGGCCAACAGGCAGCAGCGCAACGCGATACGGGGCCCTGTTCGGCTGCAGTTCAATGCGCCCCACGTGCTCGCCACCAGATGACGTGGACGTGACTGCTGTCAGGTTGATGGCGCGGTGACACGCATCACCGGGGCGCAGGTCCACAAGTCCAGCGCCGAGGCCTGTTGCCACGTAGCCCGGCTCGCACGACCCGCACTGGTGCTCGGGGTTTCGCGTGATCGCGTGCATGTCGCTGAAGCACTGGCAGTCTGTTCCCGTGAGCGGGTTGCACGCATCGCCGCGCCCGTTACATTCACACGGAAGGCAGAGCACTTGCTGGCTGTTGGTAAACGCGTCTGGGTCCCGGTAGTAGCCATCCATGCACTCGTCACAGAACTGGCCCGTCGTGTGACTCTCTGGGTCACACCGCTTGCACACCGCTGCAAGGAAAACAACGCGCGTGTTGTGTGTGCGTGCATGAGAGGGAGCGCGTTTGTGCAATGATGTCGGGGAGGGCGGGAGCAAAGCTCATGGTCACAAAGCGAAACGTGAACAACGGGCGTGGGAAAATGGAGAAGACAAATCAACCGATCTTCACCAACAAGAGCGCGAACAAACAGCATCGTGCTAAATGCACAGCGACGCGCGCACGCACACAAGCAGAAAAAGCGCGCAGGCAGACAGGTGGACAAACACACACGCAGAGAGATAGACAAGCATACACACACACGCACACAAGCACGCACGCAAACACACTTGTGTGCACACACACGCATGCACACAAGCATACACAAGCACGCACCTGCACCGTTGGCGGCGTCCATGGACGAAAAACACTCCGTGCTGTGGCCATTGCACACGTCCATGCAGGGCTTGCAGTCTGTCGGGGTGCCTGCCGTGGCATCGCCAAAGAAGCCAGGTGCACAGCGCTCACACATGGTGCCCTCCGTGTTGTGCTCGCACATGTCGCAGCCACCGCTGTCACACGAGCTGTGCTTGTTGCATGGGCACAGCTGTGTACAGTTCACACCTGTAAAACCGGTGTCGCACTGCAATGGCGTGGTGGATTCCAAGTCAGGGCGATGTGCCGAGGAGATATGAGGTCATATGAGCAAGTTCATGAAGCAACAACAAGGAGTGTGCACCAACGCAAGCACAAAACAAATACACACAAGCAAGCGCGCACGCATACGCACATACGCATACTCTCACACAAGCACACACACACACACACACACCTGGCACACGTCTGGTGCGACGCAGGTGCCGTGTTGAGGAGAACAGCCAAAGGTGTCACAAACGGGCGTGCACACGCTGCCATCACCCTCAAAACCATCGTTGCACACACACTCGTAGCTCTTGTCATCACTGCCAGGGAATCGTGGCGCCACAATATTGGTGCACGTTGCGTTGGCGTCGCACGGCTGCGGTGTTTGCTCGCACTCGTTCCTGTCGGGACAGCTGAAGTACCACCACTGCAGCGTCGTGTTTGTCGCAGACGTGCGGTCCAGTCCCGTGCTCGCCAAACCAGGGCCACCGTCATCGCCACCGCCATCGCTCGCTGTGCCTGTGGACGTGTTGACGTCGCGGTCAATGCTGCCTGCAAGCACGCTTGCGACGGCCATGGACACGGACTGCTGGTCCACAAGCCCAAAACACATGGATGTCGTGTCGTAGGGGCCAACCGCCCCGCCAGCTGCGCACGCGCCTTCACCGGACACAGGATCCACGCACCAGCCGCACCGGCTGTTCTGGAGGCAGGACGAGCAGGTGGAGTACGACGAGCACTCGCGTGGGCACACGTCGTTGCCAGCCTGAACATCGTCATTCGCGCATTCGCCGACGGCGTTGAGATCGGGGAAGAGGTTGGTTTCCTGGCACACCTGCGACGACCCGCACCACTGGCAGCCCACAGCCTGCTCGCACGCGTCGCACGACTGCAGTGAACTGCAAGCAGCCGGGCAACCAGCCTGCTCCTCACTGACAACATCGAGGCGTTACGGACGTCGTTGTTGTTGATGCGTACGTGTGTGTGTGTGTGTGTGTGTGTGTGTGTGTGTGTGTGTGTGTGTGTGTGTGTGTGTGTGTGTGTGTGTGTGTGTGTGATGTGTACGTGTGTGAGTGTGTGTTGTGGGATGCGACAATGTGTATGTGAGCCGGGTGGGTGAAGGAATTTAGAGGCGAGAGGTGGACGCCAGCGTGTTGTGTACGGAGAAACCAACCAAAACAATAAGAAGGCAACACAGCAAACACAAACATCTCGGCCTTACATTGTATCTGGGATGGCGTTGATAGGCGATTCCTTGTCAAAGCAGAAGTGCTCGCTGCACACACACACGCAAGCACACACATACATACAACACACAATTCGTCAATCACAATTTGTGTGAGGAACAACGCAAACCAAAGCCTAATGAAGAATGGCATCAACATGGCAAAGCACAGCAGCATTCGAGCACCAATTTACTCACTTGAAGGTGGACTGTTCAAACCAGCCGCACTCGTACAAGAATTCTGCAGCAAAACACAAAAACGTCCATTGTGAGGTCGCGTCAGAACAGAACACGTGCAGACATACGCACGCATGCACACACACACACACACACATACACACATATACCTGGGTCTGTGCAAGCCTTGCAGGATGAGCGGATTCCGCATTGGTCACAGTAATTCGCCTGAATGCCGGTGGCTGCCGTGCCGGCAGCGCTGTGGCATGTGCCAGCAAGGCCTGCGCACGGTCAGCGATGGCAAGGAACGTTAGGCATAGGTCGGAGACAGGCGGTACAGCAACAAAAACAAAAACGAGGCAAACGAAACCTGAAGCAATCGCGAAGACAACACTACAACGCACGCATCAACACAAAACCAGGCACGCATCAACACAAATCACGCAAGCAATAGCATGCGCATGTGCACACTCACCAGCAAATTGTCCTGTTGTTGTGATCACCCAGTAGCAGTCGTCGCGGGAGGCGCACTGGCCGCATGTGCGAATTGTGGAGCAGGACGGGGGTGCCGCACACGTGCTCTCACGTGCGCATGTGTCCTCGGCCGTGGCTCCAACCCCAAGCACGCAGCTGCCGCCACCACCATCATCATCGCCACACCACACACAGCCGGAGGTTTGCGTGCACTGCGTTGCATTGGCGTGCGCGGCGCTGCAGTTGGGCAATCGAATCTCATACACGTCATCCAGCATGGTGCGTCCAAAGCCGCCAAACATCCAAGCAGATTCCGGTGGCTGCGTGAGCACCACACCATCGGCACCACTCGCATCACCGCCACTTGTGCCGCCGGCGCGGCCACCGCCACTTGTACTGCTGCTGCCGTTCGTCGCCAGGGAGGGGGCAGCAGCGTCGTGCATGTGTGTGTCGCCGTGAATGATGTGTGCGGTGGCAGCAAAAGAGCGACCAAACGGCACTTCCTCCTGGCTGAAAAGCTGCACGAGCGCACTGTCAGCAGAGAGCCACTCGTCGCACTGCGTGTCGTACACGTACACACTCGAGTCTGGACAGTCGCCACCAGACCCGTGCTGGAAACTGTTGCCGGCAAAAGTCACCTGCAGATGTACATGCGTGTGTGTGTGTGTGTGTGTATGTGTGTGTGTGTGTGTGCGTGTGTATGTGTGTGTGTGTGTGCGTGTGTATGTGTGTGTGTGTGTGCGTGGGAGGGGAGGCGTGCATATGTGAGCACGTGCATATGTGAGCACGTGCATATGTGAGCATGAGCATGTGCGTGTGCATGAGCATTGTGTATTGAATGATGCCTGCACCGTGATGCCGAGACTGCTGCGTACCAGGAAACGGTCAAGAAGAAACGACGCGTGGAACGCGCGGGCACGCGGCAACGGCGCGACACTCGCCCACGTCGCATTCCGCACGTCAAAGGCATACACGTCATCTTGAAGTCGCACCTGCAGCATTTCCACAACGGCGTGTGCAAACGAGAAAAGCAAATAGAGAGCACGGTTGGCAGGTATGGCAGGTATAAGTCTTCAGACTCTTGGTGCTTCGTGAAGGATATGACTGCGCACACTCACACAACCACACGTGTTACAAATGCAAATAACACATCAGCCCTACAACCACGAGCAAACACTTGCACACACACACACGCACACACACGCACACACACGCACACACACACACGCACACACACACACACACACACACACACACACACGCACACACGCACACACACACACACACCGCGCGGTAGGCGAATCGCTTCCTGCTGTTGTAGATGCCGTTGATCTGGCGCTCAAGGCCAACGCCGCCAACGAGGAGAATGCGGTTGGCGGCAGGCGAGAACACGGCAGTCGCCCCGAGCAAACCAGCAGGGTGCGCACCAGATGGCGGCAGCGTCTGGAGACATGAGGTTCGAAGGGGAGAGGCAGAGAGATGGTGAGTTGTGACGAGAGCATACTCGCAAGCACACACTCATAATACACACAATCAACACACACGCACACACACACAATACACATACAATCAACACACACACACACACACAATCAACACACACACACTATATACACACACAATACACACACGACTAATGCGCACGACCCCACCCTTCTTTCCTCCCACCCCTCCCCCCCCCTTCAATGTTGAGTAGTGCCCACCTCAACGTTGAGGGTGTCCAGGTCAAACACTTGTGCCCTGAAGACAAGGCCATCATCGTTGCTCACGCCGCCAATCACATACATGCGGCCGTCCACCAGCGTTGCTGTGTGTGCAAATCGCGGCTCCAGCTCATCTCCAAGCGGTTTCACGTGCTCCCATACGTCTGCATCCACATCGTACACGAACAAGCTGTTGGACACGCGTGTGCTCTGCAGCCTCCCACCAAACACGAACATCTGCCGTCGCTCAACGCTCAGCACAGCGGTGTGGCCGTAGCGTGCGGTGGGTACGCCGCCACGAAGGCCGTCGCCGTCTGAACTGCTTGCATCACCACTGTTGTCGGCAGCACCAGCGGCACTGCCATCGCCTTCCGTGCTGCCATGAATGGTGGTGAAGGTGCGTGTGGACACGTCAAACGCCACAAGGGCGTTGCTGAGCGCGGGGTCGCGGATGACCTGTGGAGGTCGTCCGCCAAACAGCAGCACGGCGCTGGTCACGGGATCATACACCGCAGAAGCGCCGGCAAGCGGCTCTGGCATGCGCTCCAAGTACTCGTTCCACCCACCGTGGTGGGGCGGGTCACCGCAGTCGCGGCCCGTGAAGCCGTGCATGCAAACGCACCGCTTGTACCCGCCGCCGCCACCAGCACCATCACCGCCCGTGTCGTCTTCCACGCACACGCCCTGGCCAAGAGCAACGCTGCAGTTATTGGGGCACACCTCAACGTCGCACGCCTCGCCCTGCCACCCTGCGCTGCAGTGGCAAACGCCCGTGGCCTCATCGCACGTCCCGCGACCGTTGCACATGAACGGGCAGCGCTCAATCACGTAGTGCATCTTGAAGCCCTTCTCAGCCCACGTGAAGTCAGAGAACCACTGCAGCGTGACAGCGCCACGCGAGACAATGGGCGGCGGAGGCGTGAAGCCCGTCAGCACTGCAATCTCGGGCGAGAACTGCGATGCACCTTCAAGCACACGCAGCGAGTCGTAGACACACTCCACCTCAAGCTCCTCCGTCTCCAGGCGAATGGAACTTGTGCTGTCGTTGGCCGCAATCACAAACACGCACGCGCGCTCCAGGGCGTGGCAGCGCTTGCTGCTGCTGTAAGAGCACGACGTTGAAGGCCCAGACGAGATCCAGCCCTCGCCCGCCGTCAGCACAATGCGGTTCACGTCCTGTGTGCAATAGCGGTAGCAGGGCCCGCCATTGCTTGGGTTGCCGTGGTATCCCGACGCACACGAATTGCAGTGCGTGCCCTGCGTGGTCTCATCGCAGGTGCACTCGCCTGTGCGGTGGTGGCACGTGCCATGTCCGTTGCACGGGCACGGCTGGCACGGCACCCCACTGCCAGGGTCACCGTAGAAGCCTTCCTCACACCGCTCGCAAAAGGTTCCCGTGGTGTGCAGCTGGCACGCGTCGCACACGCCAGGGCCCTGGTCCTCGCAGGAGCTGGAGAAGCTGCACATGCAGTTCACGTCGCAGTTTTCGCCAGTGAACCCGAGGTGACACGAGCACACGTCCGGCGCCGTGCACGTACCGTTCACACAGGGGTCCGTGCAGATGGGCGCGCACGCCATGCCGTCTCCCTCATAGCCGTCGTTGCACACACACGCGATTGGTGGGTCGGCGCCAAGCGGGGCGGTCTTGGCCGTGCACGACGCGTTGGGGTGGCATCCGTGCTGTTCTGGCAGGCAGATGGAGCAATCAGCCCCAGCCCAAGCAGGAACGCCGCTGTCGCTGTCGTCAAAAGTGGAAGCGTCGCACACGCACGTGTTTGGGGCGACGCATGTGCCGTGCACACACCCGTCCTCACACACGGGGGAACATGTTCTTCCGTCGCCCTCAAACCCAGGCTTGCACTGGCACGTCACATCTCCCGAGGAGGATGACGATGACGAGGCGCAGGTGGCATTGGGGTGACAGCCATGCTCGATGGCGATGCAATCCGTGCAGAGCGGGCCAGCCCATGCAGGGTTACCGCTGTTCTCCGATGTGTCACACGTGCATGTGTTGTGCCCCGTGCACTCGCCGTGCACACAGGGCTCATCGCACACGGGCTGGCATGTGGCGCCGTCGCCCGCCCACCCGTGTGCACACGTGCACTGATACTGCCGCAGCAGATCTGCGGTCGTGTTGGTCTCAAACACAAAGCGGAAGCCAGGGTACTTGCTGGAGAACGCCAGCACCTGTGCGTCGCTGAGCTTGTCGCACACGGACCCGCGAGCACTGCAGATGGTGTTGGGTGGACATGCCTCGCACGTGGGGCCGCCCCAGTCGTCCTGGCAGTTGCACGCGTTCGGTGCCACACACGTGCCGTGAACACACGCAGGCGCACACACGGGGCTGCACGAGCCATAGCCGCCAGCAACCTGCCCTTGCGGTGCGTAACCGACATCGCACTCGCACGCCCGCGACGCGGCATTGCACGTGGCGTGCTCCGTGCACACGGAAGTTGCACCATTGTCGTTGCTGCTGCTGCTGCTGCTGCTGCTGCTGGCGCCGTCGGGGTTGCATTCTGTGCAGTTTGCAGCATCCACGTTAAGCCATCCGTCATCGCACGCACACATGCCGGGCGCAATGCACGAGCCGTGCACGCATCCCTGCAGGCACACTGGCTCGCAAGCACTTCCGCGCCTCACATACCCTTCATCACATATGCAGTAGAACCCTGCACTCTTTTCGCTGCTGGTGCTGCTGCTGGTGGTGCTGCTGGTGGTGGTAGTTGTGGTGGCATTGAGAAACACGCACGATGCGTGCGCTGTGCATCTGTGATCATCAGGCACGCACTGCTCGCACAAGGGACCCATAAAGCCGGGGTTACAGGTGCAAGTGTCAGGTGCCGTGCAGTTGCCGTTCTGGCACGCGTGTGCGCAGACGGGTGCACAGCCCAGAAGCGCGTCGCCAGCGTAGCCGTCATCACACTGGCACACGCCACGCATCGTGCTGTTTGTGGTGCTGCTGCTGTTGGTCATTGCAGTTGCATTACTGATGGTGGCAGTGGCGGTGGTGGTAGTGCTGCTGCTGCTGTTGTTGTTGTTGTTGTGGTTGTTGTTGTTGCTGTTGTTGCTGCTGCTGTTGTTGTTGTTGTGCACTGGAACGCAGGACGCGTGCAGGCCACACGGCGGGTGTTGTGGATCGCAGAATGCGCAAGCATCACCCACAAACCCTTCATCGCAGGTGCACGTCTCAGGGGCGGTGCACGTGCCAAACATGCATGCAGAGCACACGGGCTCGCACACGCTGCCGTCACCGGCATAGCCAGGAGGGCAAGTGCAGCGTGGTGCAAACCCTGTTGCCGTGCTGGGTGCTGGCTCCATTGTGCACAGGGCCTCGGGTGCACACGGATAGTCCGCAGCGGTCATGTCGCACATGGTGCAGTTGTTGCCTGCAAAGCCAACCTGACACGCGCACGTGTTGGGCGCAACACAGGTGCCGTGCACACACCCCTGTGTACACACCGGGGCACAGGCCACGTTGCCGTCCCCTGCGAACCCATCATCGCATTGGCACATCATGTGCCCGTTGGTGGAGGCCTTGCATGTGGCGTTGGCAGCACACTCCGCCACTCCAGGTACACACACGCTGCAGTCGTCTCCCACAAAGCCCACAGCGCACGTGCAGTTGCCAAAGGTGCCATCAACGCGAGCAGCATACGAACACTGGCCATTGACACACCCCTGCGAGCACACGGGCGTGCATGTCAGCCCGTCGCCTTCAAACCCAGGCGGACACGCGCAAAACTCATGCGAGTGCTCGATAAAGGTGGTGTTGATCATGACGGATGCTGCCGTCTCTGCTGACGACGGCGCCCTTGTTCCCTGCTCCACAGCCACCACGTAACGTGTGGTTTCGCCTTCAAGCGGAATGTGGCGTCGATGAGGGATGAGCGCAGCCGACCCACCACCGCCACCCGGAGCAGTGCTGTTGCTGCTGCTGCTGCCGTTGGTGAGGATGGCGGTGAGATCCGGTAGAGACTTGGCGCAAAAGGCCACGCTGCTGCACATGGTGGCATTTGCACACGCGTCACACGCCGCCCCGCTGGCAAAGGGCGCGCATGTGCACACTTCGGGCTCTGTGCACTGCCCAAACTCGCACGCGGCGCAGGTGGCATCGCACACCTTGCCAGACCCGTGGTAGCCGCGGTTGCACTCGCACGACTGCGTCCACACGAGCGTGAGCGGGTCCAGGTCAACACGGCAGGTGGCGTGCTCGTCACACCCGTGCACCGTCTGCGCTTGCGATGCATTGCACTTGTCGCACACAAGACCCGTGAAGCCCGTCTGGCACTCGCATTGGTTGGGTGCAACGCATGTGCCAAAGTCGGAGCACGCCGGCACACACACGGGAAAGCACGCGGTGCGGCCGTTGCCTGCATATCCGTCCTTGCATCGGCACCCAAGGTCGCCGTTGGCGTCATAGCACACGGCGTCCTCGTGGCACTCGTCATGCGCACCTTGCACGCACGTCGTGCAGTTTGCGCCTTCCCAGCCCTCATCGCACGCGCACGTGTCTGGAGCGACGCATGTGCCGTGCACGCATCCGTGCGTGGTGCACTGCGGCTCACAGCCGGCACTGGCATGTACGGGTGCAGCGTAGTCGGGCGCGCACTGGCACTCAAACGCAGGCGATGATGACGACGACGACGGGGAGGATGGCGATGATGGGTACCCGCTGATGTGCTCGCTCACGTTGAAGGGCAACGATGTGTTCCAGCCCGGTGGTGCGCACACGGCATTGGCCCCGCACACGTTGACACGCAGCATGGTAGTCGCGGGGGAGGTGGTCGTGCCGTTCACGCTGGCGGTGGTGTTGTGAGCGGTGGTGTTGGTCGTTGGTTGCGTTGTCGTGGTGGTTGCCGAAGGCAGCAGCGAGCCAATGGGTGTGCACTCTGTGCAGTTTGCACCGGAAAAGAAGCGGTGGCACTGACACGTGTTGGGCGCAATGCAGTCGCCCTGCACACAGCCAGGGCACATGGGCGTGCACATCAGGCCCTGTCCGCCACCTCCTTCGCCCGTGCCCGCCGTTGTTGCTGCATACCCGGGGTTGCACTCGCACCGGTAGCTGCGCAGGTGCTCCCCACTCGGCTCATCAACGCACGTGGCGTTGCCCGGGCAGTCGTCGTACTCAAATCGGCACTCGTCCACATCGGGGCACGTGTCGTACACATATGCCAGCGGGTACATGTCTGCCGCTGCCCTCGTGGTGTCGCTGGTGCTGTTGGTGCTGTTGGCAGGACTAATTACTGTCGAAGATGAGGAGGTGTTGTGGGGGCTGAAGAGCTGGGATGTGTTGGCAATGGCCTCAAGCAGCGACTCCGGCACGGCGGCAGCGCTGCGATTGAAGGGGCCAGCAAAGTCGCCGGAAATACACGCGCCGACGGCCGCGTTGTCGTGGGCGTACAGCCAGCCGCACTGAAAGTCAGCAACACAGGACGTGCACGTGGTGTGTGCGCTACAATCTGGGCAGGTGGACGCCGACGTGTGCCAAGACTCGCACTCGCCATCTGCAAAGCGGGTGAGGTAGCCATTGAAGTCAAAGCACGTGTTGGTGGAGGCGCACCACCCACAGCTCTGGCTGTCCGTGCACGTTGCGCATGACGTGCGCTCCGTGCATGGCACCGGACACGACAGGTCGTTTGTGGCGGTGACCGCCAGCGAATGTCCAGAGACGCGGCGGCACGCGTACAGGATCCACTCGCAGTGCGCTGTGGCGATGCACTCGTCACAGTCCGTAAACTCATTGCACTGTGCGCACTGGTCGTCCGTGTACGCAAACGAGGTGCAGGTGCTGGGGGACACGCGATCCAGGGGCATGCACGTGTTCCCACACCACCCGCAGTTGGCAGCGGCCGTGCAACCAAAGCAGTTGTCGATGCTGCTGCACACATCCGCCTCAAAGGGGCGCAGGCGTGCGCCTGGGATGATGTCTGCGTCGCTCACGCCCGTTGGATCGCTCGCGCGTTTGGCAGCAACGGCAACCTCGTGCCGGCCAAACGAGCTGCGGCTGTACACAAACACGTGCGAGGCAATGTAGTAGCGGGCGCCCTTGCTGAGGTGCACTGCCGCAAGCGACTGCACGCTGCTGTCTGTAAACGACTGTTGTGGCCGCGAGGATGTTGGTGACTGGCGGGCGACGATGACTGCAGTTGACGCGGGATCCACCGCGGAGGCGTTGGTGTTGAGAAACAGCTCAGCATAGTAGCCCTGCCGACTGCGGATGTAGAAGCGGTAGGTGTCTGTTGCTGCAGGCACAAAGTAGCCGTGGATGCGCTCGCCAAAGTTCTCATCCGTGTCGCTGACGGCAAAGGAGGAGGTGATAATTTGGGACGTGGAGGGGAAGCTGTGCTGGAACTCAAACGACGTTCGGAAGCCGTGCAGGGTCCAGGACCCGCGCAGATCAAAGAACTGCTCCCGCGTGATGCCCGTGGTCGGGCGGTGCAGGTGGCACTGCGATGTGGACGTGACGGGCACATCCATGGCGGTCGGGCACGCATCCTCCTCGTCCAACGCGGCGCCAGAGTCCGCAAAGAGCGACACGCACGTGCTCGTGCCGTGACACCACACGCAGAGGTCATCAGCAGCGCACTCCGAGCACTGTCGGTGGGCGTTGCAGTGCGACGTGCAGGCACCCGACATCCACACGCCATCGCCACGGCTGCCGCATGCAACCCCATCCTCAACAGCGGCGGCGTCTGATGCAGCAAACGCGCGTACGGAGCACAGCGTGAGCATGGTGGGGCCGGCCTGAGCGAGGACGATGATGACGCTGGCCACCTCGCCGCCGCACGACACTGTTGCCGGCTGGCCACCGTTCAGGCGAACAGAGCCGCAGGTCTTGCCTGCAAGCACGTGTGTGGGATCGGTGCCAACCACCACGCGCACATCCTGCGTTTCAGGGATGCACAGCTGCTGCGCTGCGGGCCCTGCTCCTGGTGCGTCAAAGCACGAAGGCGTGCTGCCCTGCACAACCACCGTTGCGATGGGTGTTGGCGCAGCGAGCGTTGCCGACCACAGCGGCTGCGTGGCCATGGCGCTCACGTAGCAGTCGCCGTGGCGCGCGTCCGGCACAGCACCAGCTACAGCAGCAGGCGTGTCGGCGATGGCAAGCAGGGGGTCAAACGCTGGCACAAACGCAACTGTGGCGGAGAGGGTGGGAGGGTCATCGGCGGTGAGCAGGGTGGTGTGGAAGTCAGACTGGTTGCGGAAGAGCTGGCCGGCTGTTGTTGGGTCAGCGAAACAGAAAGGAAGCATGGTGTTGTCGTCGATCATGCCCATGCTGGTACCCGCTGCTGTCGTGGTGGGCGGGGCGGCTGATGACGTGAGGGTTGATGCTGGAGATGGTGACGACGATGGTGACGACGATGGTGACGACGATGACCCGATGAGCGCTGGGTATGGGGAGATGCTGTCAAACGCGCACAAGTCGGGCTGTGTTCTCGCATCTGCTGGTTGTGCTGCTGGTGTTGGAACGCCGCGTAGTGCAATGCAGTCGCGAGCAGAGACACATGCAAACGCGGCGCTGCTGTTGCCTGGGGTGATGTGCAGCAGATACGGGGCGTCTGCACCAAAGCACCGTGGTTGTTGTTGCTGCTCTTGCTGCTGGCTGGTGGCGTTGCTTGTGGGAGGACAAGGCACAGGCGAAGACGGCGCTGGGTCTGTGGACGAGCAGTTGGTCGTGGGGTAACACTGCAGGGACGACAGGGACGTGTTGCGAGCCGCGTTTGGCGCACACGTGCAGTGTGGTCCTGTGGCAGACACCGACAGGCAGCGCTGGTACAGGAGTTGGTGCTGCTGCGCATCGCGAAGGTGGTCCTCGAGGGCCTGTCGAGGAAACAGGAGAGAGGAAGGACGGAATTGAAAGAGGGGCAGGGTGGACGCGTGAGCGGGAAGCGGGGGGAGGAGAGGAGACGTTGGAGAGGAGGTGTTGAGAAGGCAAAAAGAGAAGCAGGGGTGTTGTCATGCACAAATGTCGACGTTCACACACATGTGTGCGTGTGTGATTGAGTGTGAGTGAGTGTGTGTGTGTGTGTGCGTGTGTGTGTGTGTGTGCGCGTGTGTGTGTGTGTGTGTGTGTGCGTGTGTGTGTGTGTGTGTGCGCGTGTGTGTGTGTGTGTGTGTGTGTGTGTGTGTGTGCGTGTGTGTGTGTGTGTGTGTGTGCGCGCGCGCGTGTGTGTGTATGTGTGTGTGCGTGTGTTGCGTGTGTGTGTGTGAGTGTGTGTGTGTGTGTGAGTGTGTGTGAGTGTGTGTGTGTCACACCTGGAGAATGGGCTGATGGAGAGCGCAGGGTGCAGCAGCTAGCGTGCGCTTCTCGTAGACAACAAAGGCGTCCGCCTGTGGCGTGGAGGGGCGAAACAGCACACTGGCACCGGCAAACGGGGCGCACTTGGTGGAAACAGATGCCAGCGTGCAGTTGACAGTGCCATCGCTGAGCTGCTCAACGCTGACACCGACACATGCATCGCCGAGGTCAGCGCACGCTTTGAGACAGGCGACGACGTTGGCTGCTGTCATCACGTGCGCTGCTGTGACGCTCGCAGCGTAGTGACTGGCAACGGCAAGTGCTGTTGCAGGCGCTGTTGCTGCTGCAGCCTCACTCGCACGCACCAGCCATGGCGACGGCGCAAGCGTGGAGTTGTGCAGCTCAACAAACGCGCGCATGACAGCGCCGCTGTCATCACCGCCAGTGCCCGCGGGCTGCACGCATGCACCGCAAGCAGTCGTGGCAATGCAGCTGTCCTCGTCCGCGTGGGCAGAGCACCAGCCAGGCGATCCCCGCACCAGCAGCACGTCCCCACGCGTGCGCCCGTCGAAGCCGCCCACCACCACCAGCGTGTTGCTGTCGGCAGCAACAGCGGCGTGGCCCTGTCGTCCTCGCGTGATGCCTGCAAGCACGGTGTGAGGTAGTGTGAGGTGGTGTGAGGGGGGTCGGGTGAGTGAACGTGTGTGCGTGTGCAACATTGGCAAGGGCAATTTGGCAACTGCAGCAACGCACGGCCAGGGCACTGAGCAGGACCTTGGTCAGTGACGTCTGTCTCGAGCGACCAGGCGTTGCAGCGAAAGTGGTACACGTGCATGTGGTTGCTGTAGCAAATCTCCTCTTCGTAATGGACGTGGTGTGTGCCACCATACAGCACCATCGTGTCGTCCAACAGTGTTGCTGTGTGGAAGGCCAGGCCGGGTGGGGCATTCCCGCGAGGCGTGCGCGGCTGCACCGTGATGCAAGCAAAGGTGCGTGAGTGTGAGTGAGTGAGTGTGAGTATGTGTGTGTGTGTGAGTGAGTGTGTGTGAGTGTGAGTGAGAGTGTGTGTGAGGAGGTAGAATTGGAGATGCCTTGTCAGACGCCACGAATACAACAGCAACCAGTTCGGACGACATCACTGCATGCACACGAACACACAGTGGCGCCACATATGTAAACATGCACACGCACGTGCACACATGTACACATGTACACACCGTTGACCAGGCCAGCTCGGCGACGTGGAAGATGTACAGGGCATCACGCTCGTCTGCGTAGCGGGCGTGATACGGCTTAAACCCGCCAAACACGTATATGCTGTCGGTGGGCGGATGGTACACGCTCGTGTGGCCAACAACCTCCAGAAACAGCGGTTTTGCCACAGGGATGCGCTCCACACCAACATGCAGCCCGGCAAATGCCGAAGACGAAGCAGGACCGGTGGTGGTCGTGGTTGTGGTCGTGGTTGTTGTAATGGTGGTGGTGATGGTGGTTGTAGTATGGTTGGCAATGCTGGTGCTGTTCGTGGTGTTCGTGCTGTCGTGGCTGGTTGATGCGTGCGTGTGTGTTGGCGGCGGCGGCGCCTGCATGTTGAGGCGGTGCATCACACCACTGAACTCATCGTCCGGAGCACGCCCGCCAATCAGGAAGATGAAGTCGCCAACCACCGTCGCCGTGTGGTCTGCCAGCGGCGGCAGCGTGCCTCGCTCACACACCATCCGTGGCGCGGTGCTGGTGGAGGAGGGGCCGGGCGCTGCTGTTGTTGCCGTGGGCGATGGCGCGGCGGGTGTCATTGCTGTTGCTGCTGATGTGGCGGCTGTCATTGTGGCCGATGCGGTGGCATTGCCCGTGCCAGGTTCCAGTGACGTTGCCGGTGCTGGTGCAGTTGTTGTGGCCGATGGCGACCCGTCATCGCCATCACCATCGCCATTCGTGGGTGCATCTGGATCAACAACGCAGCGCGCGTTGCGGTAAACGGCGCCAAGAGGACATGTGCTCACGCACACCTCCGTTGGCACCACCTGCATCCACCCGGCACTGGGGGCGGTGGTGTTGAACAGCCAGATGTCGCTGCTGATGCCGTGCTCCGTCACACCGCCCACCAGCACCAGCACCCCCGCATACAGCGACAGGGTGGCAGAGTGGCGTGGAGACGGGAAGGCATCCACTGCTCCTGATGACAATTGCGGTGACGGCGGCTGCCACACGCTCGTCCATACCATCGTCTGTGCGGTGCGACATGGATGGGGGTGTGAGATTTTGCGCGCGTCGTGTTGCGTAATGTTGTGTGGGTGTTGTTGTTGTCTTAGTTGTTGGTGGTGTTGTTTGGCTGTGCTCTGTGTGTTGTGTTGATGTTGGTGTTGGTGTTGGTGTTGATGTTGTGCTGTGTTGTGTTGTGTTGGTGTTGATGTTGTGTTGTGTTGTGTTGTGTTGTGTTGTGTTGTGTTGTGTTGTGTTGTGTTGTGTTGTGTTGTGTTGTGTTGTGTTGTGTTGTGTTGTGTTGTGTTGTGTTGTGTTGTGTTGTGACTCAAGCAACAAGCGGAACGCACGTCCAGGTTGAGGGCGAGGAGGTCGCCGAAGAATTCTCCAAAGCTGTGGCCGCCAAACACATACACGGTCCCCGACGCCTGGTGGGGTGCACAAAATGGTTGGTTGAATGAAGGGTGAGCGTGGAGCACCGCGAGAGAGGGGGGGGGGCATAGAGGGGGAGGAGGGGAGAGAGAGACAGAGAGAGAGGGGGGAGAGGGGGAGAGGGGGAGGGAAAGATAGCGAGGAAGAGAGGAAGACATTGAGAGGAAGATATTGTGAGGAAGATATTGTGAGGCAGAGATGGTGGGGGGGGGAGGGGGGGAAGAACACCACACAAGTTCTGCATACACACACGCGCGAGGCAAGGAGGGTGAGTTCGCGTGGCACCTGGTCCACGGCAGCGGCGTGGCGGGTACGGGCGGGAAATAACGCATCGTCCGTGATGGCAGTGTACCAGCGGTCGTCCTCAACCTCTTGTTCGCACGCAGCGCCCACGCGCCCGCGCGGACACACACACACACACACACACACACACACACTCGCCGGGTCTGCGTGTTTGTGTGTGTGTGCGCGCGCGACTAAGCAGGAAAAAAGATCTCTGTTTTTAGAAAAATAATAAAAAAAAAAAAAAAAAAAATAAAAAAAAAAA